AAAATTCGAATTGTCTGTCACCGCGGAATTTTCCGCTATTTTTTTGAGAAAAGAAGCCTAAGACATCACACTACCGTAGACTACTAAAATCGTACGAGCAAGATTGATAGCAGAACTAAGCGATTTCTTTCAACCGCGCTTACTGCGGTAGTTGTTTCTTTGTACATTTGTGACGGCTTACAAACTCACTGCTATTATTGCAAAAGAATTACGAAGAAGGACCGGACAATGACATATTGAGGAGATCGGTCAATGCCACGCGCCAAGCCGGTAGTCCCGGTCGAATTTCGAGACTCAAGGCTACCGAGTTCCGATCGTAATGTTTGCTCCTGAAGGACAAATCCCACAGTTCCAGAACACGTGTACGTGAGCGCGCGTTTCCGTACAAGCGTTTCAGAAAAAAGAAACAAAAAAAAAAAAGTAGCAAAAAAAAGAGATGTAATAAACGGAAGTACCAACTCTCCTGTGTTTGCACCCGTGCACCTGAAAAAATTTAACAATAAAATTACCATTTTATGACGTCCCACAGATAAATTCAGAAGCGACGGTTTCTCTTTCGTCTCGACAAAATGACGACAAACTCGAGCTATCGTTTATACACGAATACAAATAAAATGCCAGACTGTAAACGCGTAAGAGACAATATATGCGCGCGAAAAATGTTCTACAAAATTTGCTTTGGAAATTGTTCCATCAACTACGTTGCAAATCGTATATAATTATTTCACATGCTCAATCTCTCGATAAATATATACATAACGAGTATTACTAATAATTCCCATTCTGAATGCGCGCTACGCGTGAATATATACTACACTAAATGTGTAATATACTACAAAACTAAGTAAAAATATAAAATCTATCAGAAATGCATAGTTCGCGATAAGCTCATCGCATGCGAAAAGGTTCGTTTCATCGAAAATCACCGGAGTCTCTCTCTCTCTCTCTCTCTCTTACGCGGAAGAGCCGTCGAAAGCGAGGAAGGAAGCGGAGGCAGAGAGGACGAAGGAAGGAAAAGGGTATGGAACAAGGACGGCGCCGCCGCCTCTGATCTCGGCGATTCCATCATCAGCGACTCGGAGCCCGGAATGGCAGATAAAAGGCAATTGAATTTAAATCATGAATACGAACGAAGCGAGGAGAGGTGGAGAGAAAGAGAGAGAGAGAGAGAGAGAGAGAGAGAGAGAGAGAAAGAGACAGAGAGACGGAGAGAGAAAGAGATCGGAAACGCGTGCAGCCTCGCGCGGAGGAAACGAGAGGAAACGACAGACATGCGAAGAGACTGTGCAAGCTCCGAGCCCCGACGGCAATCGACGGTGGTAGCTTTGTGACGATAATAGCTTCAACCCCCGGGCCTCCTATCCCCTGGGCTCTCCGCGTCCCTTCTCGTTTACCGGATGAATACGCGGAGACACACAAACACACCTACGTACACGCGCGTGTACAACGAAAACGCGCGTATATTGCGCCCTTTCCCTATCCTCCCTCTTCCTTCTCTCTCTCTCATGTCGATTCTGTTATACTCGCGAATACACGTGTGTAGCAATGCAAACGGGGCAAATTGACGGTACGCACCATCACGGTCGGCTCTGAAAATATCCTATTAATTACAGGTACAAAAGTGCGTTACGCGCAAACGTCGTTTGCGGATTAAACGACGTATTTTGCGCTGATGGCGCACGGCTTTATCGGGAGCAAATTAATTCCCATCGTTTGGTTTTCTAGTTGCAATCGCCCGGAAAAAAAAAAAAAAAAAAATACAGGGTAAACAATTCTGTTAGTTGTTAGTAGTAAAGCAAACTGTGCGAGGATAAAAAAAATACATACGCGCGCGCACAAACTGTAAACGCGCTCGATCGTTTTTTGTTCGCGCAAAGTGTATCAATATAAAGATTCGATAAAATTGAAAAAAATCTCGATATAACAATATTAAATATTAAAAAATGTATTAATACAAATGTGTTTCGTACGTAAGAAAATACGTGCTCGCAATTTTGCCTCAATCGTGATGTGCCACCGAAAAACGAAACACTCGCCTCGCACTCGTTCGATTTTCAATCGGTATCGATACCGATTTCGCTGTTAGCGGCGCTTTTATAATCAAAATAAATTGCGTCGCGTATAAACACCGTGACGAGCATGTACACATGTAGTGTGTGTGTACACACACGAATAAATATCGAATAAGTATCGCTATCGGATAATTATCGGATAACAAATGACCGCTTTGACGGACGCGGCAGAGCGAAAGCCCCCGAGCGCGTTTCCTGGAGAAGCTTCTCTGATCGATCCTTCAACCCTCCCGTTCAGACACTCATGGCAGCCCCGGACGTCGACATCACGACGCCTGCTCTTTCTATCTCTGTCTCTCTCTTTCTCTCTCTCTCTCTCTGTCACGAGCTCCACCCACGTATCGAGGCGTCGTACATGCGCAACCCAGACGGTTCGCGAGATGACATGTTCGCCAAACATCATAAAACGGCCGCCCCGTAATCAAGCCGGTTGCAATTAGCAGGCGCGCGCGCACATGCACACGCACCGTCGCCGTTCGCAGGAACGAGTTTGTTATTTATTTACGTGCAAACTCACCGATGAATCCTCACAGCAGACGAACTTTGTTCAACTTACATCTCGGTGTTGCGAAACACAATTGATAACACACGCATCACGAACACAGACACAAATAAACAATATGTGTCGTGTCACATGAAAGCCAAACGTCGATGTGTCACAAATTGCAAGTATTTTTGGTTGAGAAAGAAAAAATGTGAAAGGTTTAAAATCGCAGAGGGAAGATAAATAAATTCTCGACAATTTAGTCATGCAGACATTTGTGTGTGCAAAAAGATTTACAGTCTGCTATTACAGACTTGTAATAGCATTTCTATACATTGGTCCTTTTCTGCTATTATAACATTGTTCTCTCATCGACCTTAAAATTTCTCCCAAATATATTCAACAAGCTTGAGATTTTTCCTTCTAAAATTTATGGGAAAAAAAAGCGACTTTTTGCGAGAATTTTTTTACTCTAAAAAAAAGCCATTTCCCATAGGAAACGCGTAACTGATCGGACTTCCTTTTTACAAAAAAAAGAACAAAGTATTCATTTGTGTTCGTGAATTTCTTTAGAGATTTTCTTTTGTATCTGTGTACGTAAGAAGCTTGTAATTTCTAGACGAAAAGTCTAGACTTTGAAAATCTATTTTTATCTCTTACTCAGAAGATACATCTCGATATTGACAGACCTGGGAACCTTTCTATGCATCTGACTTTATCTTATAAAAAAGTCTGACTTAACAATGAAAAGTGTAGATAGAGCAAGTATCGAGATATAGTAAATATCGATGCGACTCCTTGCGCAATCGTATCTCACCCGATAAGTTGATTTGACTCGACAGATAATTTTGAAGATAACGTACAGTAAGATAAGACACGTGGCGACATCTATTAGAAAGTATGTTAAATTAACCTTTTAGTGCCAAATATGGATCTTTGAGATCAACTCAAAAGTTTTAAACCAGTGTCTCTACTAAGTATTAATTTAGTGCGACATTTGAAGGACAAAAAACTTTACGGTTTTAGCAGAGAGAAGACTGACAGCGGCCAGGACCATATAAAAAACTGTAATAGCTTTTCCGCCTTGTATGTCAACGCTATGTCCATGGGTGGTGCGCGATAGCAACTACAACTATGTTCACAAGACTCGTCGGTACGTGCGCTGTGTCCAAACGTGGACATGGTTTTATTCCTCGCTATGTCCACAGCGTGCACAATTTCTATTCTGTTCATATCCTGACAGATTAAGTTCACACCTTCACCGGACAGGGAAAAGGGTAAAAAAGAAAATATTATATATATTATATGTAATATTCTATATCTATATATAATACACACACATACGCATATATATATATATATATATATATGCCGTAATCACGTGATCGAAGTCAGTAAAACCGCCGCGGTCGCGCGGCCGAGGTCAGTGACTTCACCGCGTCGCGCGACTGAGGTCATTGACCCCGTC